CTTCGTTGAGAATATTGCGGACGAATGACAATAATAACACGAAGAATCTGTAAAGATATAGAGCTACAACAATTAAAATGAAGAAAAAACGTGTTTAATGTTTAAAAGGAGGATTACAGATATAGAAGAAACGTGTTTAATGTCTAAAATGTGAATTATGGATAAAATATGTAATGTACAAATTATAAAAATATGGTAAGTCGTATGGTAATAGTACGTCCAGAAATAGTGCAGTGAAGACAATATATATTAAATAATAATATACGAGTATTATAATAACATAAATATAAACGTCAACGTGGCAAGAAATTAAAATCAAAAGAAATATGAGAATAGTGATTGAATTGAGAGTTAAATCAGGAATTGGCTACCAATTCAGTAATAGCCTGCTGTAAATTTTCTTTGGAATCGGCAATGAGAACAATATAGTTTGCGAAAACCATCACTTGAGCTAGGATTATCCTCATGTTCCATCTTCCCTCGACCGTCCGTGTTGTCCCCCGCTTGCATATTCTCAATATTTCATCCATAAATATTATGAAAAGGAGAGGACTAAGGCCTGTGTAACACCCTTTGTCATGACGAAAGCCTCGGGTATTCTGCCGTTAATTCTGACTACTTCTTTGGAGTCTTGGAAGGTAGATTTTATGGCACTTATTACCTTAACTACCTTTTTAGCTAAAGCTGTTCACATTTCTTCTCTGAGGACGGGATCCAATGCTGCCTTTATGTCCGGGAACGCCAAGTACAAATTTTTTCCTCTATCCTATGACATCATTGGTGGACCACCGAATTTTATAAGTTCTGGAGCAATACCATCTTTGCCAATCTTAATTTTCTCTATAGCCCAAACGACATCTTCCTCCCAAATCACGTCATCATATACTTCTGTTTGTGTTTCCTGTCTCCCTTCCGAGCCGCCAGAGAACAATGCAGAATAATGGCGCCGCAATCACTCCAATAATTCCTTATCTTCAGCAATTATCTGCCCTATTTCATCCTTAACATTTCTGATGGGTTTGCTCGCCATTCCTTTCATTGCTTTAACTCTTTTTCCAGAAAGTTTAGGTATTTTCCTTGTAATCATTCTGCAGACTTCCACCAAATTTCTCCCAACTCTTCCTCTTCGCCACACAGACAACCATTTGTGCTTCATTTCTCCTTCCAGCTTGCTGCAGTCTCGAGTTGACAATACTCCTTCCAGGCTGTCTTCTTCCTAACTACCGCAGCTTTCAACATATCACTCCACCACTCAGACCTTTTACCTTTGGTGTAGATACTACATTCGTTCCGCATACACTTTCAGCAGTCTCAAGTATTGCATTTTTCATTGTATTGTTGATATTTCTTGCAGTATTGACATACCTGCGTTTCTGATCCAGAAGTTCTGCATACTCACTTTTCTTATCTGGATTCAGCAGCTTTGCAATGCCAATCTTCTTGTATGCCTTGGGCCTATTCTATCTAGGTTGTAGGATCTGGTTGTCTCCAGTCAACAGAAGATGGCCCGGAATTTCAGCACCTCTTATTACTTTTACATAGTTAAAGTATCTCTTTATACTTCTACGGTACACAATGTAATCTATAATGTAATTAACGCTTCTTTCTTCAGCTGAAAGGTTATTTTCTGTACGGCTTTGTATGGAAAGAAATAGTTTCCAATGAGGAGATTGTATTCGTTACAGAAGTCAATGAGCCTTTGACCATTTCCGTTTTTGGTGCGTTATTCTCTGTGTAGGCCCATAATATCATGGGCATTTGAATGGTCATTCAAAATCACCCATCAGGATCAACCCTCTGTTATAGTTCTGACCTCTGATGACGTCTCTCTCTAGATCAGCATAAAACTGTTCTTTGTCAAGAACATTTGTATTCTCTGCTGTGGCATAAACTTGTATTATCGCAATCATTCCTATTGAAAGATTCATATACACTGTTATAATTTTTGATGATATAGGCTGTCAATCTTCTATTTTGATGAACAGGATTTCTTTCATGATAATGGTGACACCTTCCTTGGCTCTAAACCCAGCTAGTACTCCTGAGTAGATAACCACATGGTCCTTTTCTAGGTGTACTTCACTGTGCCCTTTTTTCCTCACTTCAATCTTTAGAAGGTCTACCCTGAGCGTCTCCATCTCCTTCACCAGTTCAACCTCTTTACCAGTTAAAGTGCTGATATTCCAATTTCCAAGTCTAATATCCTTTCTGGAAATCGCGTCGTAACCATTCAGACTGTCTGAATCTGAGGCCATTTGATGTACTTTGAATCAGATTAGCTCTCCTATGGGTGATCGGCCCAGTAGGAGAGGCCCCGTATCCTTGGGACAACTGGCCTTCTCAATATTTATGTCCCCTCTGGAAGAAGGGTGGCCGGGCTAAACCCTCTCCAATGGATTTCTCCCAACATGGAGGGCCAGTGACTGATTGCAGTCAGATGGCTGGAGATGGGGTCGCCACATCCCTTCACCATGTGAAAAAATCAATATCTCCAAAAAAGTTTACATAAACAATTTCCCATTTGCAGCAGAAAACTAGGAAAAATTTAAGATTTCTGTTTTTTAAGTGAGTCACGTTTTTTGTTTAATAGAAAGCGATAACTTAAAAATATTTGATTTAAGTAAGTAATCATTGCTCCATAGCAAATCAGATTAAATTTACATAAAAAGAAAGTAGATTTTGTCATTGTTAAACTATTAACAAACACAGCTAAGTTCTGTTTAAAAAAAAATCATAAATTATTCGTGATTTTTTTTATTACTCTCCCACTTCACTACAATTACCCCACTTTTAGAAAACTTCCTCGTTTAATAAGCTTTAAGTCCATATTAATTAAAGTGAGGTTCATTTGCAAAAATGTTGAGATTTACCCTTAAGTTGTGTAAAGAAATGTGATTTACTATTCAGTTATCTTAAAGTATCTATGTTTTCTGCAAAAATGACTACAATTAACTGTTGCAAAGCTTTTATCCCTTGTTTTTCTGTGATATGGGATATAGTGTAATAAACATAATGGCCCAAAACCCATTGTATTAATAAAAATAAAAAAATTCAAAATAATGAATTTCAAAATATGTTTTATGTAAGGTGGTTATGAAATTGTGTTTTTCTCACAGATTTCAGTCATACAAATTTATGTGTATTTATAAGTGACAAACTTATGTTTCTAGCCCTAATATTTATGTTTTCATGAAAATAAGTGAAGCAATCAGTAGGTTTCTTTATTTTAAACATAAATTTTAGTAAGAAACATTAAGTTTGTCACTGATAAATACCTATCAATTCCTATGACGGAGAAGTGGGAGAAAAATACTACTTCATAACCACTTTATGTGAAAAATATTTATAAAACCATTATTTTAAGTTTGTTTACATCTATAAATAAAATGTGTTTTAAGCAAGCAATCAAGTCTATTACAATACATCTCATATCACGGAAAACAAGAAATAAAATCTTTGCAATAGTTAATTGAATTAATTTTTCCTAATAAACCTCAACTTAATTAATATGGACTTGAAGGTTATTAAATGAGGAAGATTTTGTAAAAGTGGAGTAAATATAATGTAGTTAAAGGGTGATAAAAAATACAAATTATAAATAAGTTATGAATTTTTTCTAAACAAAACTTAGCTATGCTTATCCGTCCAATAGTGCTCTTTAAATAGTTTTAAACAGGTGAACTTATGGATGTCCTACATTTATAAATAGTACGTATCAATATGTTTTTATAAAAATTTGTTTATAGACATTTTTGACGGAGAAAACAGTGTTTTTAATAACACATGTCTTTTCAATTATTTTCATTTTATTTTATATTATACCTATAGAGAGTAATGAATCATAATGTTTCAGTTTTTAACATTAGCTATATTGTGCTCAAAAAATTCCATAAATAGGAAAAAATGTACTTAAGCATGCCGTCCACTTATCCGCTCCAGCCTGCCTTGGCCAGACTAAATATGTAAACATGACTGAATGGTAGTAAGTCTGCACACTAGGCCACTCTGCAAATTTTGAGCCAGATAGCTACCTATTCAGTCATATTTACATTTTTAAGCATTATTGGGATGGAATTTTTTTTTTATGTGATGCCTCACTTGGAGTATTTGACAAGTGGGGTAATCACAGCCCTTAATGTACTCAGTCGTACTGGGGATGGTTTTTGGAGCCTTATATCTAGCAACGATAATCATTTATTAGTGGTACTGGGTATTCTGAGGTTCCAGTTCCCTTGCTGGAATCTAAATCTCACATATCCAGAAGAGCAGGTTGGTGACGATTCAAGGAATGACTCTGCCATGAGTGAGCAGGGTAAAAGTCAGTGTCTCATGAGGAGGTGCAAGTCAGAGCAGGAGGAGTACCTCCTATTGCAAGAAAATATACTAGGGCACCAGATAGCGAGGGAAAACTTGGGGAGTTAACTGGAGAATCTCTGTTTGCGGATCAATGAAGAATCTGCTGGAAGGGAAAACATCCTGCGAGAGTACGCTCTAGATGAATGGAATCGGATATGCTTTAAAAAAAACAAAAAAAAAGGCTTACGTCAGGAAATATTTTCCCAAAATTGATTCCCGGTAAGCAAATTGTTTGAACCTGATTACTGGGTCATCCAACTATTCACTGGAGTAAGGGGCTTCCAAGCAAAGCTTTCTCAACATGAAATTAACATTGATCCCCTAATCCCAAGTTGTGGAGTAGTAGAGACACCTGAGCATGTTGTCGTAGGCCAAACTTTTGATGGAAATATATCTCTACAATTTAGTAACACTTCAAGGGACTTATGCAGGTAGAAGACAATTATAGGTCTAACTCACTTCTCTTTGGAAAGAAGAGATTTAACAAACTTAATGAAAAAAAAAGCAAGTTATGAGCACATCTCCAAAAAAATTATAATTTTAATTGTTTTACTAGCAGCAGTGAGTTGTTACAGAGGCATTTTAATAGTCATATTACCTATCAGGCAAGGTAGGATTGAAAATAAAATAATGGTTCAAGATTGTAAAGTTGTGAGTTAATTTCAATATACAACATAACTTTATTAAACCATCCATGGTACATCAATATATATATGTAGGTACTAAAAATATAATACATTTACAATTTATCAATAAATTATTGCAATAACTTCACAGTAAACGGAATTAGTTATCAAATTTACTTCCATTCACAGGTGAAGTATTTATATCTTTCAGATGAAAATACACAGGGGTTCACAAAATTATTTCAAATAACTAATTATAATTTGTGCTCTCATTAAAAAAAATAATTTTAAGATCTGAAATGCTTGCAGCCTAAAATAGCCATTCTTAAAAGCACCTGCAATGATCAATCAACCAAGACCATTGAAGAAAATAACAGTAACTAATAATTACAAAAATATATTTATATCAATTAACAATTGTCACAGCAGTCTGGTATTTAAAATAATCCCCTCATCCTATAAAATAAGCTGGCTAATAAAAATAGATAAAAATTGACACTTATACAGTGAAATCACAGATTATTAGAAAATTTATAAAAATTCTTTAGGTCACATTTTTAGTTATGTTTTCACCATAACCCCACATTTGTAGGAAGTAACTATTTTTTAATAAATAGTATTAGGTTTGATTTATTTGAGATGATACTCTAAAATAATATCTTATGAATAAAAATTTAAATATTTTAAAATTTATTCTTGTACTCCTTTCACTGTATAATGTGTCTTGGATAGACAATTATAATCTTACAAATATTTATTGATAAACAATATACAAGAAATATCTCAAATAAACTCTATTGATAATTGAGGTAACATTACTAAACAGCAGCAGGATTACCAAAAATGGGTAACTCGACTTACTAACTGATGATAACAACAATTTATATATAAAATTTTTTTTAAAGATTATTATTATTATTATGTATCTGCAGCTATGGGGCAAGGTTTGTCTTCCATGTTGAGAATCATAACAGCTTCAATTTTTTTCTGCAACCATTGAAGTAGAGCAAGGTCTTGACATTGTACTGCCCTCTCATTACCGTTCAAGTAATTAAAACTTTCATCCTACAACAATAGTGTATGGAATTTTAATATTTCTACACATTCAACCTATAAACCAAAATAAATATTCACATATACTGACCTGCCGAACTTTGAGCATTAGCTTATTGTCTTCTATATTCGGAACGGACATTATATCATCTACTCTCACTCCCCATTCCATCTCCCAAGTTCCCCAAAGACGGCATTTTTCCACAAAAAAGACATGTCTGGAAATAATGATTAACAATTATAATATTCAAATCAATTAATAATTAAATAATTTGATACACATAATTATTTTTAATAAATAACAAACAAGTTTAGAACACATGAGGTGAATTAGATATTTTTATCAATTTTCAACTTTTATTTATTGGTGAAATTGGTTTATAAAAATGAAAATACAGAAAGTTCCAAGTTTTTCTTATATATCTTTACAAAAATGATTTGCATTAAAAACAAGTGGTGGAGATGAAACAACATCATGAGAGTTTGAGACACGGCTACGCAAGATACTGCAAGGGCCAACCTCATACTGTTGGCGAGTAGAGTAGAGTAGGTGTTTTAGGGCAATAAATTGCTTGATTATTATGTCTTGATACTATTGGGCATCTTATACTTATTAATTTTTACTTGTGTTTCCAACTTTAAAACTTCCAACCTAGAAATATCTTTCCATTTTTTCTTTCACCGTGTCATATCTAGGTAAAAATATTTAGTTTAAAATGTATTTTATTTAACTGTCATAAATTAATAAATGAGCTAGGAGCTGAGAGAGGTTGAGCAGTATCATAGTGTTTGGCAGCAGTACGTGCCACCTTCTGGTTGATTTTGGCTCCTCTTCCAATCCCTACTACAGCTACCAGAGGCACTGTTATTTCAAGTTTTTAGCTAAATATGAACTTTTTATTTTTATTTTTTAAAAATACTATCTCATTCTTATATATCCTTTATCACTTTAATTCTATTGCAGTTCAAATTTACACTTTTTTTTCCCATGCAAGTGCCCTGTTCCAACAAGCGCTATTGGGTATTCTTAAAATTTAATGTGAATATCAATTTAAATTGGAAATTCACCTTGTTTGGTCGTTAAGATGAGGAAAATAGATTGGTTACCCCTTTAAGTAATAAATTAAAATCCATGTCAACAATCCATGTCCAAATTAAAATCAAATGTTAAGAAGGTACCAGAGATAGCAGAAAAAGTTAAAATGTGAAAAGCTGGCTAAGTACCTTCTGAGCTGGCTTATCTAGCTGTTAAAAATCGGATATTAAAAATTCATACAATTCTTGAGTATAAATTTTCTCTATGGCACTCAGGAGAAATGATTTTGAAAAATGATGTCAAAAGGGAATTTCATGGAAAAATGACTAATACCAATTTAAATGCTTAAATGTGTACCATAACTTTAATAAAAATAATTTTATAATATGAGTGGTTTATTTTATAATATGGAATATGAGTGGTATCAATATTTGGACAATAATGGATCAAAATGGGACAAGTTGGGTTAATATGGACATCAAGACTCAGCTGGGATGTTCTCAGACAATATACTGGCCCTATTTTTAAAGCCCTAAAATTTACTGTTTTCAAGAAAATTCAGATGAAAAAAAAAGTGCCTCAATTTATATAAAATATTTATCACATGTCTTTGTTTAGGTTTTTCAAAATACTCTTAGGCAGTACACGATTCAAAGAACAAAGCATATCATAATATGATAAGCAAGCATTGCACCACGAGAGCCACAGAGGACCATTGGGAAAGCTGGGATCAAGAAGAGAAGCTTGTAAAAAAGAAGAAAAGAATCAGATAAACTCACAAGAATGCTAAGAGAGCCGGAATTCCCAACAGATCAAAAACTCAAGATCACGAGAAAGAAGACATGCTTCTCCCCATGAATGAAGACATTTTGGATCAGTGGGTCAGACCCTTCAAATTCTTCATGAACAAAGAAGACAGAGAGATATGTACACCAGTATAAAATTTATAGCGATAAAGAAGTTAAGCCCCCAGACTTAGAGGAGATAACAGAAGCAATCCAACAATTGAAAAATAACAATTATAAGTATAAGCTGTGAACCCAGCATCTGTTTGTAAATTTCACAAGTACATAGCATCAACAAACCAAGCTTAGTGAGGCCTTTTCTGAAATGAATGAATCAGGTAAAATGAATCGTATCGTGAAGTTGACAATGAAGGATGTGCGGTGGCAAGTCTGGATACAATCAGATTGTATTGCTGAGTTTTTGTCTGACAAGAGACTAAGACAAGGTGTAGTAGATAGCCCTCAGTATTTACTCCTTTATGTGACATTGTGTGAGAGAATGAGAAGGAATATATTGGAATATGATATTTCACTATGAATTGTACTCAATTGTGCAGTGGACAAATTATTCATTGAAAAGTCTGATATCGATAAACAATCGACAAAGGAGGAAGAAGGTTGGAATAGGACGGAGAAAGTAGCAACAGCTGGAGAGAAAAGAACGCACTCTAGGCCAGGATAGGAAGGAAGGAGGTTGTCAAAAGAGATGCACTGCACTGAAGATTAAGAAGATCAAGCCTAAAGTTATAAGACTTTAATAGATTCACTTATTAGAGTTGTAAAAATAAATTGTTTTGTTAGATAGGAGTGAAAAGTCATTTATTTATTTAGTTGTCCCATAGGCCTCACAATTGAAGAATAACAAACCAGGTGAGTCAATTCATTCAAAGGGTATTTACTCAGTCCCACATTATACATATATTCTTATTGTTTTTTGCCACTCAGTGTCACAAAAGTATTAGATTCCCGAATTCCCAACAACAGTTAAACACCCTCAAAAAGTCTATATCCAGTGCCAGGGTTTTGTTTTAATATTCACGAGTGTAAATAACCTAGTCCCCCAATTAAACGGAAGGAATCTTTACAAAGGAGATGGACTGGTATATCTTCTTTTTACCTCTACTATGGAAAAGACTTGGTAATCCAAACTCATGGAATAATTATTGGCTAAACATTGCAGATGCTTGGGCATACTGCCAATTGTGTGTCAGATGACTAGATATTGTGGTGAGACCTTGATCAGTACCGCAGGATGCTTTCCTAAACCTTCAGAGGTTAGCTTCATTTATAGGGCACCTCAAGTAAAGTGCAGACCAAATATATGTACACAGGTTTTGGAGGAGATCCTTGTTTACCGTTAACGTCAACAATTACCTCAGATCCCTCATCATCCTTTAATGATTTGTCAGTGGAAATTAAAAAATAATTTGCTGCAGAAAACTGGTGTTACATTGGGCTTCTGAAGGCAATCCACAAAAGGTGTCTTAGTATGCAAACAAAACTTATCTGCATTGTTCCCACCTATGATGGCTATTACTCTTTTAAATGACTTCGGTCCTTTAAAAGAATGATAGCTATGAAAAAGATCTGATGGTATTTAAAAGAAAAATATAGCACCACAGTATAGGTTCATTGAGAGTTCATAAGACTGGAGAATCAAAGGAAACACCTTGATCTTAATGGAGAACTATATGAGGTCTGATTTATTAAGCTTAGGAGACTTAGTTGGGCTGGTCACGTTGCCAGAATGAGTGAGAAAACGACCAGGAGAGGAAAGTGCTGGAGGATATCCTTCTATCTTTTAGGAATCAGGAAGTGGAAGGCGGCAGCACTAGACAGAGTCAAATAGCAGATACTCACAGAGGAGGCCAAGAGTAACCCTGGGTTGTAGTGCCACAAAGATAGATAGAAAATGCTTTCCCAAATATTTCCTAAAATACTTTCCCAATTTTTCAGATTAATAGTTGTTTATAATAAACTAAAAATGTATTGAAAATATTAAATAGAAGATATATCTTCTATTGGGGCAAGCTACTTATTTAGTAACCTACTACTTATTTAGTAAACTACTACTACAACATGGATATTATAAAGTATGTAGGTTTATCGGTCATATTGAATAGACTTTATTGATAAGATTATATTTTTTATACAAATAAACATGTTCCTTTTAAAATCTTAAAATGTATTGGGTTGGAGGATAGATATTCTACATATCAGTTTTCTCTTAGATATACTTGTAAATTAAAATATATTATTTTAACAGAAATTAAAAAGAAAAACAATGACTACAATTAGATGTCAAAAAATTAGTCATTGTTAAAATTTTATATATTCCTAAAATTTTGTGTCACTATCAATTTGAAATAAGAATAAATAATTTCTAAAAAATAAATAAAAATTTAGATACATGTTTATAATTGAAAAAGCAGATATCCAAGAAAATTATTTTATTTCATCAGCAATACCTCCAATCTTCTACAATAAATTAAAGAATTATCATCTATAAATCAATAATGACTAGATTGTTTATTGGATCCTATTTTATTTTTTAAAATGTTATTGTGTTGGCACAAATATGAAATAATAATGTATTTTTGCACTGTTTCATATGTTCTAATTATAAGTCTTATTCTAAATATTAACAACTTACTGGAGGGTGATGAGTAGATATGACTTCCCATCTGGCTGCAAAGGTGCATGGATCCAATAAATATCTGAATCAGCATAATGACCTTTATTCATAACCATCAAAAGCTGTTTTCCACACGCTTCATAAACAGAAAATGGCTTCACACCCTACAATCATCCAAGGGGAGGATGAATCAATAGTAAGGTAATAATGTTAAGAATATTATTTATTAATGATGATTGCAAAATGTAAACCAAAATTACATCTTAATACTTATTTTAAATCTACATGTATAAGTATTATTGAAGGAAGTTGGTCGACTGTTCTACATATCAAGGATGATTACCTATCACACAATAATATAAGTCTATTTATAGTACTCACAACAATATAATTCTATATGAAAATAAGTCTATTTTCATTTCAAGGTATTACAATAAAAGATAAGTTTAGGGACTGGTCAGGGACTGTAATCACAGAGAAAAATACATTTTTTTATTTCTATTTTTTCTGAGACTTCAATCCACAAATAACTTCACAACCATAATATCTACACTCAACTATATCTCCACCATTAAAATAGACATAGCTTTCCTTCAGATTACTACAAATTCAATTAAAAAAAAAAAATCTTTTTGTAGACACTTTTATTGCATATCTGATTTACAACAGCTAAGATCCCAGAATTTGTCAAGGGATTTCTATATAAAAATAAAAATGAATGCAAGCATTATTAGACCCATCCCAGATGTAAAAATATCTCATGATGAAGAATGATAGATTAATACTAGAGAGATAGATTGATGACCTAAATTTTAAAGACATATCCAATGGAAATTCAAAAATCTCTTTTAAAACTAGCAAAAAAAAAAATAAATAAAGACTTTGATTTTATATACATGGATCCCTCCAAGGTAGGAAATAGTGTAGACTGCGCTGTAACCAGTAAGGAAAATCAGCTCTTGTTTAACCTGCTAGTTCCATATTTACCGGAGCCATCAAGAATACTGTTTTTTAAAAAGATGGAAAAATAAAAAAATTTTGAGCCACGAAAAAGCTTATTATGAGCCCATTTGGCTAGAATTGAAAAAGAAACGGAAAGGATGTCTTAGATAACTGGGTATACCAACCATAGAAAAGTAAACTAATAGATTAGGAGAAATATTGGATAGGTAAGAGAGTGTACACTAGCTAAAGTAAAACCTGACTGTAGTAAATTGCTTATTAGCTCCAAAATGTCCAGGAAAGAAGAGGTTATACTGTACCGACTAAGGATGGAATACCATCAGTTTTCACATGATTATCTGCAGGATCATGAAGAAAAAGTCTTTCTTCTGTTTAAATTTAGGGCAAAGCCAGGGAAAGAAAAAAAGGCATTATTTTAAACTAGAACGAATAACGGAGGCTTTGTGGTTTATACTAATACAATACTCCTGATTGCTTCATAATATGTATAAAATAAATTAATTTATAATTTACACATGATGTGACTGTAACAATGATAAATGTTCACAATTACCTTTCTTCACAAAGAACCTTTTTTTGTAAAAAACTTATATCAAACCAAAACAGGACTCAATAACTGATTCTATGACCAAATGACTAAAGCCCTCTGATGATCTTTGGTCTGAGCCAGGGGCTCCAAAGTAGGACCTGCAAACACCTTCAGTCCATCCTACGAAAGTTCTTTTGATAAAACTATTTTAAAAATTCTAAATTAAGTAAATCGCTCAAAGAGGAGATTTCTACAACATTTATTACATGAGTTGTTTCCCTTAAGAAGTTCATTTCACAGCTGCAGTGTCATTTATACATATCAAACCATGGCCCGCTAGTGGAGACCTCACTACAGCCCGTGGAACTTAGTGGAGGCCTCAATGCGGCCTGCGGGATCTTGTGAAGGTCTCAATGTGACCCACAGCCCAAAAAGTTTGGAGACCCATTGTGTGAGCAATCTTACTAGGTATTAGTTGACTATGAACATACCTCTGACATTAACAATCACATCTCGATTTTGGAAAATGCATTAAATATAAAGTAACAAAAAAAAAAATTAATTATTTTTAATAAGTAAGTGTATGGTAGCTTTCTCACCAGATATGGGTTTAAATATCTGGGTTGTCTTGTCCTTAATACAAATTCTTCTCCAGTTTCAGCAGCTCTATAATAAAAACAACATAAATTACATATTTACAAGTTAATAGATCTTGCTTACTTACCATATAAAAGTTCAAAAAAAGAGTTTATAAAAAATATATATAGCCAATAATGTTGTAAACACAAAGGATTTTAATAAGATATAAAGCATTCAGTCCTAAATCAGGTCATGAAAGAGATATCAGAACACTGATATAGGTGCCTTTTTTTTTTACATAACCTTAAAATACTTTTAACCCTCTGTTGGGTGAATGAAAATGAGCAAGTTTAATTAAACCTGGTAGTTGAATTTTAAAAAAGTGAATTACCATAAAAAAAATTATTTATTGAAAAAAAATTGCAGTCTGATTCAAAAGGAAGAAAGCATTAACAAAGAATGGATTATGCCACGAAATCTGCACTTATAGTTAAAATATGATTCCACAATTCATGTGTTTTTTAAATATACAACTTAACCGCCCCATTCAGAAAAAAAAATATTGTGTCTAATTTCTTTGTGGTCCTCAGGATGCTAGTGTTTTCTATTATTTATTTCAAGAGACCCTCAACACAGGGCATTTTTAGACATCTACTTTCAAAAGAAACTTGAAATTGAAGATAATCTAATACCTTTTAATTCCATCTGTTGCCATAGCTATACAGTCAACGACACCACCAGATGGTTTTGTTAAGAGTCCCATTAAACCTTTACCAACACTTCGGAAAAATGCTTCCAAGCCATCATGTTGTTGAATACCTACAACAAAATAAAATAATAGAGATTATATTTTAGTAGAAAATGATTAATAAATATAACTAATCATTTAGCAATAGTCAAAGATAATAAATAATGGATTTCTTAAAATGAATTTAACTAATTCATAAACTTATAAATATTAATAAATCAATGAATGATATTATACAATATGACATTGATACAATGAAAAAAAAGAACATTTTTTAAATTTATACAAGTTATTACTCTCCTTTCAACCCTTCCTCCCTCCTTTCCGACCAAGTGAAAAGTCAATCAAGCACTCGTTATCTATAAAGGCTTGCCTTTTTCTTTAGAACGAAACAAAATATGAAAATAAATCACACTGGTTGGGGATAGGTTATAATTGGTAATGTATTAATTATCAAAGAAGAGGTATCATAGAAACACTGCATTACATCTATAATTAGATTTGGACATTTATGGCTTACCATTTTTGATTTTGAAAACAAACAAATCAACGACAATATGATAACTGATTTTAAAAGCTATAATGTGTTTATTTTTAGGTTTTGAATAAAAATCTCCTATTAAATAACTGTATAGCAGGAATACTCAAAATAACTTTAATAACGAGTTTCATCAATTTTTAGGACAAGATTTAGCAAAATCAACCATAAAATTTAGATTTCTATTTATATGATTAAATGGATAAATAAATTATGGCAAAAAGTAATAAGCCACAAGATTATCATACGAGTCTATACATTTTTTTTTTGTAACTACTCAGTTTTCTTATACAGACTTTATTATTATAATTTTAGTTCATTATCGATTAATTATTATAAAAGATTAAAGATAAATCATTTGTTTTTTCCTATAATAACTAGGCCAATACTTCTGTAAATTTTTAATTAAGTTTTCTAAGCACAGTAATAACACCAATAAATATTACTTTAAAAATGATTTCAAACCTATATTGAGAACTCAAAATAAGTATTAACAACTACAACAATCCTAACCTATTAATATTGATGATTCTGGAGATGGGCTTGCAGTTTACAAAAAAACTGTTAATTTTAATTTTAACTAAAGAAGTACATAAAACTATACCAGTTTATCTTGCCTTTCAATTAAATTTTTAAAAAATCATGGTTCTTCAAAATAACAAACTTTTATTTGCAAATAAAAGTACTTTAGTTAGAAATAAACAGCAGAAATTCAAAGAACTACTTGAAATTAACATCTAATCCTTACTGCTTTGTTTTAGTTAACAGCTAATGAGAAGAAATAATTCGAAATGGAAGTTTCAAATTCAAAAGCTAAAGGTTATAACTTTAAGGTAGATTATTAGCAAAAGTAGGGAAGAACTGATAACTAAAGTAAATGAATGTATAACTTAATCTAGAAAAAATACATAGCAAGTGCTCAATTAATATAATTGTAAAATACCACTTTGTTATTAACATCAATTTGTTACTTATTTTCTTTTCTGTAGCCATATATTTACTTGAAAATAATAGACTGTTACACCTTATTGAAGTTAATCAAAATTTCAGCCTGTCCAAATATTTTGAAGGGTCTACCAAACCTATAGACCCTTCAACCTGAGTTGGAGTACGGTTGAAAATTTGTATGTGAATTGAGTTAGTGTTGGTGAAGTGCCTTTGAGAATTTCAACTTCTCCCACCCACACCATTTTTATATTTTCAATTTTGTATTTTTCATGATAATGCACACACAGCACAACCAGTAAAGGAAACGATTGGACAATCAGTTGGGAAATATTAACTTATGTGGCTTACTCACCAGACTTGGCTCCATCTGACTACTATTTATTTGCATTGATAGAGTATGTACTTGCTCAGCATTACTCCATTTCTTATGAAAATGTAAAAAATGGCCTGATAACTGATCCACCACAAAAGAGCAACAGTTTTTCTATCAAGGCATTCATAAACTGCCAGAGAGAAAGGAATAGAAAGCGACATTCTTGGATTGAGTGAGGTGAAAAAGAAAGGCTCTGGTGACGTTAAGCTGGATAGAGGACATACCCTAGTATATTCAGCAGTCCTCCCAAGACACAGAGCAGTAGAAGGCATTGGCATAATAATGAAAGAAGACCTATTCAGGAAGTTGGTAGAATGGGATAAGCGGTAAGCCCTCTCCTAATCATGGCAAATATAAATCTGCAGATTGGAGAATGGGCTCGAATCCAAGTCTAGTGCCCCCATAAACGATTCTGATATCCTGGAGAAGAAATATTTCTATAGCTACCTGGAGGGATCATTGATTAAAGCCAGGAACAGCAACAGAAGCATCTTAATAATGGGAGAACAGGGAGTGACAACTGAGGTATATGGAGTGATAGGCCCACATGGTGGAGAGCACATTAAGAATGAAAGTGGACAGTGCCTATTTGAGTTCTTTATTGAGAATGATCTGCTTAAAGGAAACTCATTCTTTCCTCACAAAGGGATCCATAAAATAACTTTCTCCACCACAGAGAGAGGCGCTAATAGTGTCATAGACTATTTTATTTATAGCCGTGACATCAGGAGGCATTTCACAGAAGGCATTTGTGAAAGTTATTAGAAGTGCAGACATAAGAAGCGACCACATGCTTCTTATAATAGATACCAGGGTGCTAAAGGAGCACAGAATAAAGGCAAAAGCGTATGAAAGGATAGAAGTAGGTAAGCTGCAGGACCTCCAGAAGAGAACTTAATATTTTATTTATTTATTTTAATGAAATTTACAACTGTATTACATAGAAAATACATTAAGTAAATGTGACATTGGTAACATGACATGTACAACATGAAGAGAAACTACCCATTGGTAGAACTCAAATTAAAGTTCTATCTTAGAAGGTCCCGAGGCCATCTTCTTTTCAGACGCCTCGGAAGGTTATCAGGGATCGAGGAGGAAGCAAGGTTTGAAATGAGAGGATTCGGACGGTTCTGCAGTTTGTTATGGAAGGATAGGTGTCTGGATTGGGCCAAATCGGAAACATATAGAACATTAAGGTCTTTATGGATGATTTTATTTGTGACAAAGTAAGGAGCGTTGAGGATTTTGGATTTTAAGGATTGGATACAAGAGGAATTTGACGGTTTAGTGGAGCCCCAAAGCTCAATTCCGTAAGTCCAAATAGGTCTTAATTATTGTCATATATATGAGTCGCTTGTAATTGATTGAAAGCTTAGAGCGTTTGTCTAGTAAGTGCTGCAGTAGTCGAAAACGTCGGGCGGTTTCTAGTAGTTTCAGTCTGGTATGGGGGTTCCAAGTGAGTCGTTTGTCAAGGTGGAGTCCTAAGTATCAGATTTGTTCGACAGGGATAAGTGGGCTATTGTTGAAGGATACTGTAGGACAGGAAGTCATAGGTTTACGACGAAGAGTGAAGGTAATTTGATGGGATTTCTTGGAATTTATTTTAATCCTCCAGTTTTGACATCATTTTCCAAGACTTGTGATGTGTGATTGAAGAGTTCGGGATGCAATAGATGGATCGTTATTAACTGATAGGATACATGTGTTATCGGCATAGGTGGTGATGACAGTGTTGGATTGGGTTGGGATGTCAGCTGTATAAACTGTGTAATGGATAGGACCAAGGATACTACCTTGAGGAACACCAGCAGAGAGCTTAATATGAATTGGAATTGAAGAGAAGGCTCCAAGAAATTGATGCCGACACAAGTCTGGATGAAATGTCGGGTTTTATAAAAAGTAGTATCCTGCAGGCAGCTTCCATAGTTTGTGGAATAAAAAGGATATACTCAAAGGGTAAGCAAACTTCATGGTGGAATGAAGAGCTGAGGGTGCAGGCCAGGGAAAAGAAAACTGCATGGAAGGACTACTGGAGAGACAAATCACCAGATAAATAGCAAATATATATAATTGCTTGAAGTAGGACAAAAGAAGCTGTAAGAAGAGCAAAGCAAAAACTGTGGAAGGAATTCAGAGAGAAACTAAATCTAGATCATGCGGAGAATATTAAACTATTTTGGAGCAAAATTAAAGCCTCAAGAGGTCGCAAAAGTAAACCAATAAGAAATGTAAAGAATGAGAATGGGAAGATGAACACGGTGGATAAAGCAATTCTGAAAGTCTGCCATAAATATTACACCAAGCGATTCGGTACAGATGATATGTACCCAGTGAACCCAGGACAATGGAATGAAGCTGAGTTTGACGAGGCGATAGAAGAGGGTGAACTATAAAGAGCTATCTCAAGAATGAAGAATGAGAAAGAGCCAGAGCGAGATAATATAATGGCAGAATTAGTGAAATATGGTGACTCCAAGATGGTGAAAGCTCTATAAGTACTCTATCAAAAAGTCTGGGACAAGAAGAGGATCCCAACTGATTGGGAATATAATTTTATCATACCCATTCACAAAAAAGAATCCCAGTTATACGACTGTCCTGGAAAGAAGATTAAGGCCCTTAGTTGAACACCTTATTGAGGAAGAGCAAGCTGGGTTTAGACCAGGACGGCAAACTCAGGATCATATATTCTCCATAAGAAATGTTCTACAGAAATCTTGGGACCGGGATAAAAACATGTTAAAACACAGTTTCCAAGCATGAAATATGGAAGGCTCTAAGAGCTAAACACGTTCCAAGGAACTTAGTGGAGGCTGTAAAGTCCATTTATCAACACCCAAAGGGAGTTGTTAGGCAAAACGGGTTGGAGTCCGGTTGCTTTGAAATGACAAGGGGCATTATTTTTTTTAAGATGCAAGGAGATATTTTGAGCCCATTACTATTTCTAATTTATATGAATGAGGGGGCAGCCATCTGTAAAAGAAGAACAGAAAGGACATTCCTGGGGAGAAGAAACCTACGTCCGGTGGTGATGTCCATGTCGCTGATTTGGCTGAAAAGTTGCAGCAGGTGATGACTGAATGGTATGACAAACTCTACCGGAAAGGAATGCAGATCAATACCAACAAAAGTAAGATACAACAAGTGGGAAGGCAAAATGAAGAGACGCATGTACACTCCAATGGAGAGTAATTAGAAGTGGTCTCTTTGCCTTGTTCTGTACTTTACCTATCATAGAAATATCAGAGAAAGTGGACTTAGAAATATCCAATAGAATAAGCAAAGCAAATGCAGTCTACTACCATATTTGCAACACCATTGTAAGAAAGCGAGAGGTAGACAAGAACGTCATGCTCCATATATTTAAATCTGTCTACCTGTCATTACTTCTATACAGAGATAAAAGCTGGACATTATCAGACAGGCAAGAGGGCAGAGTCACTGCTGCTGAAATGAAATATCTGCGAAAAACAGTCGGTAAGTCTAGGAGAGACCGGGTTCGTAACAAAAGTATACGCCAGGAGCTGGGAGTCACCTCACTGAAGGAGGTGAATTGAAATGGTTTGGCCTTGTGATTAGGATGGAGGGACATAGAGACCCATTGACGACTATCAATTACGCTCCGGATGGCAAAAGACCTTGACGACACCCAAGAATGTCATATCTGGAGCACATCGATAGACTCTGCAAAGGAAGAGGCAAAGATCTCCATCGAGCCAGGAATCTAGAAAAGAAGAGATAAGAGAGGAGTTCCTGGCTGCTCAACCTCTGACGCTGAGAGGCACGAAAGAGAGAAGCTAAAGAAGAAGTATATATGAGTAATTATAGATCACATCAAATTAAGTTTAAAACAAGTTGTGCAATGTGGCACAATAAATATCCTACATATTGTCATGAAGTAGTTCGTCTTTGCTTGTTATAGCTATAACAACATAAATAGGGGAAAACATGATCTTAGTTACAAAGCTTTACTGCTCACACTTTTATTTAATTTAATTTATATAGAAAGTAAATTTTAAAATAATGCAAACAAAAATCATAGTGATAAGTGTAAATCATGCAAACCTGATGTTGTGGGTCCGAAGGTGTGCTGTCCTGTCACATTTAGAGAAGAGGCGATGGCCAAAAAAAACAAAGTCAGATACACCATTCACAACTACATCAAAACTAACATTAATACATATCAATTATTACACATCGTTCAGTTGGTGTCTTCACTTTACTTCAAAGCCAGACTGCTGTATTGTCAAGAATACTTTAATTTTTATTAATATTGTCCTTAGTTAAATGGAATTATTATAATTTTTAAAAATATCAGCTTAAAAAAAAATTTCTTAATCTCTATAAGAATTCAGACAAATATTATTTACAACTGTTTTACTTTACTGAAAAAACATGTAAAAAGAGAAGATATCTGGTTTCAAAACTAAATGCCTCAATTCATATACTGAAATAATGCAATAAAATGATTATGTTATAATAAATAAAAATAATTATCAACGTGAAAAGAATGTTATTTAATATTTATTTACTACTTGTGATGTGACAGAGACATATTAATAATAAGGTTTTACAGTGGATAAAAGTTAAGCAATAGATAAATATAATATGTGTACATAAATTAATAAATAATTACAGACATTTGATTGTTATTAATTATGTCAAAAATGTTTTAGAAAATAGTACATAATAAAATAACTAAGAAATTTAATTTAAGAGAAATAAGATGCGTGCTTAAATAAACAATGTTAGAATGCAATTAATTGTTTTGATATATAAAAAAATTGTATTTAAATAAAATATATTTTGATCAAATCATGTATATGTCATCATTTATTGTTAGAATGGACTATGTAAAAGACAGTTAATTATACTTTATTTTAACCATTTTAAAAAGAAGATGAAGGAAGTTGCGCAATTAAAAAAATAAAGCTGATTAAATTTATAAGTTTCATAATTCGTAGTTCAAAAATGTAACTTTAAACATTGTCATTTTGTTCCCATGGTCTCTTATTTTTAAAAAGCTTTTGATCTTCTAAATTACATAATTTTGTCAACGAAATGTTTAAAACCAAACATTAATAACTTAGAACAGAGTTATAAAAAATCTAAATTGTTCTGATAAAAATGATTTGAGAATCAAGATAAAAAAAAATTAATGTTCAGTATATTATACAACAAAGGCTAACCTATTCTAAAACTAAATGTTTATTTAGTAGTTTATTTGTTTTGTTATTTATCATATTTTATTCTTTTACACGCTCTATAAAGAAAATGATGAAATGAATGTATAATATATCTTGACTACGATATACAACTTTGGAGAAGATTTCCATGGGCTAATGGGAGAAGATAATTACCCCTACTTCATGGAAGTGGAAGGAAGTGTTGGGTCAATTTACGCAATTCACCCTGGGGAGAGGACTGTCAAACTAGGGAAAGAGGTGGATGGAGAAACAGTTGGCACCGTAAAGATCAACAGAGAAGGAGGAACTCAAGTATCAGTAGCTGGAAGAAGAAAAGAAGGCTAAGAATGGTTGATGGCCACTGGACTGAAAGGGGAACAAACAAGATGTAGCCCCACCAGAAAGTGCACAGCTGCTATTACTGCTGAAAATCACCAGAAATAGGGAAAAATCTAAGATCCATATTACATATTTAACTATGGTGTGCACAATTGAATATTTATGAAAAAGTTTGCACTAGTTTTATCTATTTAATTAAAAACAAAATTGAGCCCATATTGGATAAAAATACTTATGCATAAGCATAGAACATTCAATTTAAAAAGATGAAATAAAAAATCCAATTGAATTTTTAAAATATATACAAAAATACTGACATAATATGTTAATGTAAAATTATGTACTATATTTATTGTATATATAAATCTAGAGGAAGAAAAAAAAGAAGGAAATAGTTTGTAGGTAAATTGCACAATTAATTTATTCAAAATTTATCGAGTGAATCTAGAATTTACCTCAATAAAACTGATGAAAAGCAGTTAAAGCACTTGAAAGGATAAGTTGATTAACATCTTATTAAAATAATGAATTTTCAGAATGACATGAAGTATACATTTTTTAAAAAATAATGAATTCTTTCTGGTGTCTGTATTATATTATAATAATCAATTATAATTATTATGTTAATAAAGAATGGATGTAAAATAAAAATATATATTTGATGCATCTGCATAATACCTTCAATTGAAAATTATACTTTAATAGAAACAAAAGGACTGAAATTCATTTCCCAATGAATGAGAAAAATATATAGACTTTCATTTTATAAAAGTTTAGTGGTAATGAAATGAAACATCTTACGAGCCAATAAATGACTTGCATAATAATTAAAAGCCATTAAAATAATTAAAAATTTGAATCATAGTCACATATGGCAAATGAAAATTTAATAATGATAATGATAAAAAGTAATCTAATAATATAAAATATTTATTATTAGTATAATGATAGTCTGGATTTGAAGTAGGCAGTATAAATTGGAAAGCAAATTACATTACATTAGAGACAGAATAACATTAATAGAATATGAAGCATAATGGAAGGTAGTAAATCATAAAGCATTTTAATCTCCTCATTTTCATTCTCAGTATAAAAAGACTGGAGACAAAGCATGCAAAATACATTGTCCCAAGTTTTTTATATGTATTTTTTGTAATACTCATTTTTTATGAGAGTGATTCATGCAAATGTGTTTAATTGTTTTAATACAATTAAACATAGCTAAAACAGTTTCCTCTAAAGCTGTTCATTATCTATCAACTACATCAGATTTTACTATCATGCAAAATATCTTCAAGCAATGTCAACAATATGGTATTTACACTGACTATAGAGAGCCCTAGATGAGTAAGTCTGTTAACATTGTTTTTACTTTTTCACGGAATAATTTTACTTTTTACCTGTCAAATGCTTAATTATCAGCCCAGACATTCCAAGAGTAATTCCAACCTCAAATGTTCTACTATTCTGTATTAACGATTCAGGTAAATCACACATCTGTTGAAGGCACAATCTCCTTCTCTGTGAAGAAGAAACATAAACTAATAAAAACTAAATTTTATAATCTAAATTTAAATAAAAAACGTTCCAAGTTTGTTTTGAGTACAGTTTAGGGTATCATCAGAAAATAGTATTAAGCCTGTCCATCACGGCTCATCTCGCCTGCGAACAATGGACCACCCCTTATTAACTTAAGAGCAAATTCATTAACCTGATCAAAGGAAGTGAAAATTAATGACAATGGAAGGATGGATTAGAGAACTTACAAGAGATAAGGGAATCCAAGTACTTCCTGAATATTGTTCCGACTTTATGAGATCTTTTAAATGGGTTCCAATTAATCATAAAAGAAAAAAAATGGTTTTAGAATTTAAACATTCTTCTAAGATTTCATCAGTCTCAAAATTTATTAATCAACACTTATGACAACTTACAGCTAGTCTCAAAACATTAAAAGGGAACGGGAAATGGTCCAAATAAAATATTTTATAAATATTAACTAATAATATTAGTTTGGTCATAACTAAATATAACACTAATTGGAATTTAAAAAAAAAAAGAAAGAAATATAATCATAATGTAACTATAGTTTTGAATTTACTTTCTTGTAGTCATCATCAAAATTTGGTGGTGCAACACAATCAGGCAATGCTGATGTAATCAGGGAAGAATTTCCACTGCCTCCAGCACAAAGATGGCCCATTAGCATTTGAGCGCCCAATGATAGCCCTTCACTGAATTCTTCAGCATTTTCAATTTGGTTCTATGATAACAAATTAAAGAGAAATTGTATTAGTTTTGATTAAAAGTGGTCCTAAATATATTTAATAACTGTGAATTCATATGGCTATATAACCAATGAAGGTTAAAACTGACAATACAGTAATAAATTCAGCTAGTGTGGTATTTAAAAAATAACATATTTTTCATTTAAAATGAAGAAATCTATAAGAAACATAGAAATCATTCATATAAAAATAAGATTCTAAGTTATATGTATTACAGATTATATAAAATAATCAGTATTAACAGTACAAATAATAGTCTTCTTCATGATAAATATTACTTTTTAATATATTATTTTTTGTTATCGAATTTAATTAATAATATAATATTAATTTTTTTTTTTATTAGTTTCTAAATATTTGGCAACAAAATTAATAAATAATTTTGGAAATTTACAGAACTACAATATGTACTTTGAACAAGCCTATATAATACGCACATTCTGCTTCATGGTTAGGGATTGCAGGCAGTGAGAAACACAAAAATAAAATATTTTATAATTTTATTTCTTTTTTCACTGACTGCAACCTCAACTAATTTTCTAACCATATTATCAACCGCCAACTATTTCTTCACAATTATGCTTTATAGTACAGACCCCTTTTTATTGAATTAATAACATCCGCCTGAAGTTTTGTAAATAGCTACAACTATTTTATTTACGAAAACTATTGGAATTGGGAAGTTTTCAATCTGGAGGGGGGAAAACTTTGTTTTTTTAATTAGGTACTAAAAACTCGTAAGTACACATTTGCTTTCTACTTGAATCATAAGATAATTTGATCAAAAATTAGATTAAAAAAGTGGCCTATAAAAATAGGCCATTTGTTCAATATAACCTCGCTATTTTAAAAATTTTGGGGAGTAGGTCACGCCAAACGGCTCAATATATTTGAAGGCCACCCTTTTTTGTGATCAAATTATCTTACGATTCAAGTGGAAAGCAAATGTGTATTTATGAGTTTTTAGAACTAAATTAAATAGACAAAGTTTACCCCCCACCAGATTGAAAACACCCCAATTCCAAGAGTTTTCATAAATAAAATAGTTGTAGGTTACGATGAGATGAAACTATTTATGAAGTTTCAGGCGGATATTAATAATTCGATAAAAAAAGGTCTGTACCATGGACTATTATGGTATGGCAACAATATTAGTTCAAATTACAGATAAGCCCTATTGCAAAGAGTAGCTGTATTTAAAAATTAACAATAAGATGAATTACATAAGTCATGAAATACTGACAAAGTAATGGAAAAAACAATCATTAATTTAATGATTAAAAATTATACTTAATGCCAATGACGTTATAGCACAGAGGTCGTAGAGAGATAAAAAATTATATTTATGGTAAAACTAGATTTTGTTGTATAATGTATGAGGCATAAAACTTACTAGGGCAGGATCATAATACATATCCCCCAGACCATGTGTAAAATCTGTGACAACTGAATAAGGATTTCCAAGTATGTCCAATCCATGAATGAGTACATGTATTTGTGGAATAAGCTGGGAGGTATAATGTGAAATTATTTCAGATATATAATTTTCACGATTGATCACTAATCCTTTCCATTCAAAATATGAAGTCCTTTAAAATTAAAAATGTAACATATATATTTAGCAATGAATTTTAGCAGTCTAGGTGAATTGTATAATTTTTTTTAAATACCTTATATTAATTCCTTTTATTTCTGGATGGGCTGGAGTCAACATGTCTAAAAGGTAGTGCATTAGATCACCATAGTATGACCTATCATAAATGCTTGCATGCATATTCGTTCCGCTAAATACAAAACTGAATTGCAAGCTGATGGGTGAAAGATGCATGTATTCAACAGTCATTCTTGATTCACTGCATGGCGATGACTTAAGAAAAACAAATAGTAAGTGACTATAAATGATGAGGTATTAAAAATTAATAAAACATATAACTAACCCAAGTTGTTAAAGGTTGATAAAGAATGCCAATATCTCTTCGTATTCTGACTGATGGTTTGGTTTCAGGAAGCCATGAAGAACATAAATCATACAGCAGAAATATAAAACTTTTTTCTAGTTGGATGGAAAATTCTTGAACTAATACCTTCATGTACCTACAAAAAAAAAAAAAAAGAATAAATATACTTATTTTACAATCCATTATTAACAGTTTGCAGATAGGAGAGAAATGGATAATTTTCAATATCTCAGTTCTCATCTCAGAGAAAGCGGTCACATCAATGAGGAAGTGGTACATACAAATGTGAAAATACCTCAAAACACAAAAGTTGAACCCAATAGAGATACGTTCACCTTCATAAAGTGGAAAGAATGATTTATAATAAGCAAAATATGATAACAATCACTTACCGACGAAAATACTCTTTGTCATCTTTCCCTTTGTTACAACTAAATGTTCATACTTATTTTATAAAATGCAATTAAACAATACTCAAACAACATTTGATTAAAATTAAATAAATAGTACAAGTAATCGGGTAGTTAAAGAGTTTAATGCATGTTAAAAGGAAGGAAAACGCTTTGGCTGTATAATAAAGAATGGATGTAAAATAAAAATATATATTTGATGCATCTACATAATACCTTCAATTGAAAATTATACTTTGGAGTACTGTGGGAGAATATGGGAAAATATGGGAGTACCGTAAGTACCGCTGAGTGGGGGTACTTGGACACACCCCTCTTCTCAACTCTAGTTTATTCTATACACTATGTGTCTATTGGGATACTAAATGGAATTAGAAATTCCAGAAAAGTCAGATAAATATAAATTAAGGTTCTCTATAATTCCGGGAAATGTGTTGTCTATTGTAAAGATGACAAATGCTATCTTTACTGGATTTATAATATTATAATTGCCAATAAAAAGTTTGTTTCTATTTTTCATGCTTGTATAAACAGCCACCTTCTCCTTGATTATTTATACACAATTTTGTCTGATTTTTAATTAAAATGCATTATCTGTAACATATCCCATAGTAATGTACCACTTAATATAGCAATAATTTACAGTGGGAATAGTACATAACAAATAAATGGGATGATGTTAAACCTTTAAAATATAAAATTTAGGAAAAAAGATACATAGAATATTATAGTTGAAAAAACAAAACAACACTCCAGATGTATTTTAGCAGTAAAATTTTATATAAAAATATTTTCAATAAAAAAATAGTATTTCAAAGGAACTTTGTAAACTAAAGAACTTACTTAATAACAAGTTGGTTTTGGGTTGACTCGTTTCTCTTAAGGACAACTATTTCAAAACAAGGTTTCACTCCAACCTTCCTTACAACCTGAGATGACAGAGGTTTTGGATATAAAACAATAGGGAACAGAGCATTGTTCATTTGGTTTTCAATCTATATAGGAAAATATAGAAGATATAAGGTCATACATAAATAATCGAGAAGTGTAAATAGGAAAAAATATATTTAATGAAAATAGTGATAGTATCCGATCTTCACCTGAAATTTATGAAGCTTGGCATGTATATAAGAGTAATTTTGTGATTTTCTGTACTGCAACCATAAAGCAGGATTATACCTTCTTCTAAGTTCTCCATAAAATGGCTTTGTCATTTGCATCTTTTCAAAATCAACCTGTAAAACAATATCTTAGAGACTAAGAAGAAGTGAGATTTAATGAAATAAATGGATCATTCTCCTAGAAAGGGCAAATCCTTGTTTATTTTTTTAAATTTTGAGGTGGCTCCACACTTCTGTTGTGGTTTTCTCAATCTAATTAAACAAGGTAGTAATTTCTTTTCTTATACATTGTAAAACAATCATTCTAGAGAGTGCTGTAAATCTTTAACTGATAAATTTTTACTAGTGTATAAATTATAAAGTTGTTTTTTAAAAAATGCAGATTTTTTATTTCCCTCCTTTTATTCTCACATCTCTTAAACACAATTTTATGTTTGCTGTTTCATTTATTTATATCTTTATACATTAAATCATATGTATTTTGACCTTGTTCTTTTCTTTTCACTTTTATAAATTCCATTCCTGATTTCAGTTTTACCACTGTGGACTGTATTCTCTAAAAGGAAACTATTTATTACAAAAATTTAAATTTTTCATTTTTTTTGTTTCATTCAATAAAAAAATTAACTTGATATTTCTTGTATTACTTCCATATAAATATAATTAGCAACATAATCCAAATAATCCCTTTACTAATGAATTCATTCTTTCATGGCATTTATTAAAAACATTTATATTCATGAAATGAGCAATCAGCGGATATAATATATTTACTATTTACTAAACAAATTAATGCTTTTTAGAAGAATAACTGTAAGCCAATGTATAAAAAAATTCAGAATTGAGGTTTACCCTTTACATGACCGTAACAATAATAGCTGCTTAAATGAGGATTTATTTAAGATTATTATTATTAACATTTAAGATATATGTTAAGTTATATTGTGTTTTCTACACTTTTCATAATTGAGAAAAAGAATCACAACAGATAAAGAATATTATCAAAAAGATGTGAGACATGTTATGTGATGATTAATATGCTTCTCAAAATTGAAATTACAATGAAATAAAAATAAAAACACAAACATTTATGATTGCTTAGTTTAAATTTTATATCTAAAGAAACTTTTTTAAGAAGTGACTTACATGAACAAACTCTTTCATTTGAGCTTTTTTGGCATCCTGTCTCCATCTATCTTCAACCCAAGCAGCTAATTCGAGGGTTAATGGTTTCCACTTATGGGCTACATTCACTTCCCAGATAGGAGCAGAATCTCTTGCAGAGAAATAAGCAACTTCTTGTAACTGGTTTGTGATTTCACTGGCCTTTAAAACATGAGAAATGTGATTAATTGCACTATGCATTGCTGATGTCCAATAACCACATCCATTTTTTTAGAGATCTTATTTTTCTAAAATTGAAAACAAAAATTTTAAATATTTAGATTTATAAATAAATATAAATACACAAGTCTTAAGCGATATCCTTTAGTTGTATACCTATGATAAACATGATTCATAAATGAATGACGTACTACATATGTTAAAAAATTTAACATGCAACAATAATTGAGGCATTCAGTTGTGAAATATGATAACTTGAAGATTTTGGTAACATCAGTTTCCTTATGGCTGATTTTGTGGGTTGTTCATAGAATTTATAGAAAATTTGTTTCTTTAATGGGTAATGACAGTCTTTAGATTTAGAGAGTGATCACTTGTTGAATATTTTGTAGCCAAAGTTATTGTAAGTAATTGAGCCACTTATCATACTATTGGATTGTCCAGAAAATAATGCATGATTTTGGTTTAAAAAGGAAGAAAGAAAAAATAAAGATTTCTGTTTTATTTACTGGAAATAGCCTCTACTACTATCAATACCTTTCTGTGGTGTTGGCAACTTTTCCATTTCCTCTGAATAGAATTTCACATCTTTAGAATTGATAGACTCCAAAAATGCATTTTCTAATTCCCTTTGTCCATTCAATTTTTTGTCACGTAAGTATTGGACCAGGTGTTTAAAAAAAATGATAATTCATAGGGGAGAGGTCCGGAAAGTAGGGCTGATGTGGTAGAGTTCCAAATCCAAGTTCCAACAGTTATTGTGACGTCTCACGTGAGACATTTGGCCGGGTGTTGTCATGCAACAAAATGAGCCACTTCCGATTGACCAAAGATGGCTTCATTATTGCCAATTGCTAATACATTACATTAATTTGGTTACAGTTGACAGTTTCTTTAGGATTTAAGAAGCTGTAATGTATCAAACCAAATGAAGCCCATCAAACAGTAACCATCACCTTTTTTAGATCAGTTGGGGGCTTTGGAAAATGTTCTGCTGCTTCTCCTTTGTCGCGTCACTGTCCAGAATATCTACTGTTATTGTAGAGTATCCACTTTTCATCACAAGTAACAATTCTGGAGAGAAATGGGTCATTTTTGTTTCCGCAAAGAAGTGTAGCACAAACTTCATAAATATGTTTTTTTGGCAGTCATTTAATGTGTATGGAGTCCAACTTTCAAGATTTTTTACCTTTCCAATCGCCTTTAGATGGTCATCGACGGTTGATCCACTAAGATTAAGTTTCTCTGCAAGTTCTCAAACAATTGTTCTGGAGTTTTTTCCACCAAAGTCCGCAGAACATCATCATCAAGAGAGGAAGTTCTTACATGACCATCTTCATCTTCAAGGCTGAAGTCTCCCTCCTGAAATTTTTCGAACTACCGTTGAACAGTGCAATCATTAATGATGCTGTCACGCTAGACTTTTTTGATGTTTCAGGCCGTCTGGGCTCCATTCTGACCGATTTTAAACTCGTAAAACAAACTTATACAAAAATCACACATTGATATCTTAGTAAAGACTGAATTATTTCTAAGCAGTGAAATGCTACAGAGGTAAAAAAAAAACATTATGATTTGAAAGAGGATTAATAAGTGTTGACATTCATACAAATGAATAATCCAGTAAACAAACAGTTTGTTATAAAGAGGGGTACTTTAAAGAAATTACTAAAAATCTTGCATTATTTTACGGACAACCCAATACAATCAAAATCTTCCTCAAAAGACATTCTTGGTTAGCTAAAAGTGTGTATCATACTTCTTTAATATGGAAAGTAACATAACCTTCTGCTTGAAGCCTTGTATTTTCAATCCTGCTAGGAGTAATTAGAGTTTTGGAATATGTGTATCACAGTTTTATATATTATATTAGTTTCAACTATGTCAGGGCTGAGCTCTAGAGGTTGCGGTCAAGCCAATCTCCATCCTGAAGACCTCAGCCAGCCATCTCTTCTCCTACTTTACATATTCACCTTTTTCTGGGTTCTCCTTGCCTCAATCTTCCAGATGGTTTCCTATCAATCGCCACATAGAAGACATTTCTCTTATATGACCACAGCAGCCTTTGCCACCTAATTCTCTGGTTGATAGACATAGGAGCCTCTATTCTGTCTCCAATGATCTAATTCTTAAATCTATTTATCCTTGTAACTCATAAGTATCTCATCTAAAAGTAGATTTCCACAGCTTGTACATTTTAATAGAGCTGGGATGACATGATCCAGGTCTCGGCTGCATACGTTAGGTTGGGTCCTGTGATGACGAAGTATATTCTTCGTTTTTTTTCTTTTAGAATTATGTCATTCCACAAGAGAGAATGGGCATGTGTGTGGCTTTCCGTGCTTGCTCCAAATTTCTCTGCACATCAATTTCTGATGATGATGAGGATTCAAGGTGAGATCCCAGATACTTAAAAACATCCCATCTTTCTTCAGATCTGAGCGTCGAATTGAAGATGGGCATGTATTCCATCTTCGTAAAATTGATCCTAAGCTCCACAGACTCATAACAGCCCCATAGTGAGCACATCAACCTTTCCAGAAACACCTTTCTGTGTGAAAATCTGACCTCAGATTTCCACAATGATGATAAAATTCTTTGATAGACTCACAATTGAAAAAAAAAAATTACAACTAAACTTCTTAATATATTTTATGAAAATAAATCTTATGACAGTTTATCAACACTGTAATCACAAATTTGTGATAAAAGTTTGGCAAGAGTTAATGTGTACTTCTAGTGCAGTTTGATGTATATATTTAATAAAAATTAATAAATTAAATTTATAAACAATAAATGTTGAAAAAATGTGCCTCACCCACCAGGGATAGACCGATCCCCTTCAATGATAGGAAAAATTCAACATTGCTCTTTTCAGAATCAATCCTTAATCTAGCTTTGTAAGCTATTCGTTCATCTTGAGTAAACATTAACACTCTTTGAGGCCCCTCCAAGTATGATACCCAATACACCACCACTTTGTCTTTCCTCGTCTTCTTTGATAACTGTAATTGAAAGAATGAATTTTATATAATTTCTTCAAATGAAACTTTAAATATAAATTTAAAAAATTAATAATTGCCATGCATTACTTTAGACAATATTATTTGCCATCATCAAAACCTCACTGACATGAACAATTATCATTTAAATAAGAATACCAATAGAGTATTTTCATAAAAAAAAAAAAAAAAACTGTCTAAATAGGGGGAGAGAGGAGTGACTCAAGTACGTGAATGAAGATGAACTTACCACTTCTTTTAAGTCTACTTTCTAAACATTTTTCATTATATGTCCTTATAATATATATATATATATATATATATATATATATATATATATATATATATATATATATATATATATTTTAAATATATCTATTGAAAATTAAAACTGTATTACATGACAAATACAACAGGTAAATCAGAAAACAGTGACATAACATCAAGAGAAACTACCCATTCATAGCACTCCAATTATGGTTCTCTATTAGAAGGTGCCGAGGCCATCTTCTTTTCAGACACCGCAGAAGGTTATCAGGAATAGAAGAGAAAGCAAGGTTAGAAACAAAAGGGTTCGGATGGTTCAGAAGTTTATTATGGAAAGACATGTATCTGGAATGAGCTATATCAGAAACACATGGCACATTAAGATCGTTATGGATGATTTTATTTGTGACAAAGTAAGGTGCATTGAGGATTTTACGAAGGATTTTGGATTGTAAGGATTGAATGTGAGAGGAATTTGATGGTTTAGTAGAGGAGCAAAGATTGACACCGTAAGTCCAGATAGGTCTAATTATAGTAATATATATGAGACTTTTGTAAATAATTAGAAGATTAGAGCGTTTGTCAAGTAAGTGCTGTAGCAGTCGAAAACATCAAGCAGTTTCTAGTCGTTTCAGTCTGGTATGAGGATTCTAAGTGAGTCGTTTGTCCAGGTAGAGTCCTAGGTATTGCATTTGTTCAACAGGGATAAGTGGGGTATTGTTAAAGGATACTGTAGGACAGGAAGTTATAGGTTTACGATGAAGGGTAAAGGTAATTTGATTGGATTTATTGGAATATATTTTAATCTTCCAGTTTTGACATCATTCTTCAAAACTTGTGATGTGTGATTGAAGAGGCTGGGATGCAATTGATGGGTCGTTACTAACTGACAGGATACACATGTTATCAGCTAAGGTAGTGATGACAGTGTTGGGATGGGCTGGGATGTCAGCTGTGTAAACTGTGTAAAACTCAGGACCTAGGATCAACCTTGAGGAACAGTAGCAAACTGAGAAAAAATAGATGAATAAGCATGATTGTGATTTACTTTGAAGTATCTGACAGTAAGGTAGTAACGGATAATGAGGAAGTATCTAGGTAGTAGGAATTTATGGATTTTGTACATCAGTCCCAGGTGACAGACCCTATCAAACACCTGTTCAACATCGAGAAAGAATCCCGTGCAGTACAATCTGCGCTCCAAAGCAGAGGAGACTACGTCCACCACACGATGACATTGGATAGTGGAATGAGAAGTGCGGAATCCAAATTGGTGGTCTGGGATTATGTGATTAGAATCTAGGATGGGAGGGGAGATAAGTTTTTCCAGGATTATTCCCATTTTGGGTAAAAGAGAGATAGGATGGTTAGAGGATGGGTATTCTAGTGTTTTTTTGGGTTTATGTATCATTTTAATAATTGATAGTTTACAAGTGGCAGGAAAATATGTGGATCGGACTACAGCATTATATGTATATGTAAGAAATAGAATGGCCTTCGGAGGAAGCAGTTTTATTATCTGGGATGTAATTAGGTAGTGTCCAGGAGCTTTGCTGGAAGGTAATCTGTCGAATATTTCTGAAGGATGGAATGCTTTAGGTGGAAGGGTCAGTTGGATTATTATATTAAAAAAGTAAATTACTATTTATATTTCTTTGGAAACTATTTAATGATGAAAGTTGAAACTTAAATTCTTAAAATAGAAGGAGGTTTATTTAAAATTAATGTATTTTATAATTATAATCATAAAATAATAATTGTATTGTCTTTAGTATGACAAGCATAAAAAAATTGCAACCTCCTCTTATATAAAAATTTCTATGAATCAAGTTTTTTTAAAGGTATCTTCATGTTCAAGATATATACATCCAACTATATAACATAACTAACCAATATTCTTGAATGGAAGTTTTAATGCTGGAATTGGTGTAAACATTATCATAGCCTTTGTTTTATCCTAGCAATTACCAAAATGTTTGTGTTTTCATTATCATAGCCTAATCTTCAATGATCAATGAAAATTGAAAATTCATGATAGTACTCCATTAATCAAAAAATATTCATAATTTTTTAATACATTAAAAAGCAAAATGCAGGTAGATTTATTCTATACATCCTCCTCCAATGCCAGATAAATAGTTTTTAAAATCTAAATTAAAAAAATATATATATTTAAAGTAATTTTGAAAATAAGTGGTTTAAAAAAGAAAGAGATAATTAAATTTTTTTTGTATTGCTGCAGTCTAAAATTATTTGGAAACTGGGAAAACATAGCCAGTTTTTGAAAATGTTTTTTGACCAATTTCTGAACTCCTCTACTTCCTTAGGAATGAATGCTGACTTTTGGGGATTGGCAAGAATATTCATACTACTACCAGAGAAATACTTTTTTTTTTTCATTTAATATCAACAATATTTGGTGCTTTATATAAAATTGTATTAGAATTACAAAATCATAATTCATTGTTTAAAAATAGAGAAATAAACCCAAAAAATACCTGTGGTTTTTGGAGTTCATCTGATTCACTATCTTCACTACTGCTGCTTTGGCCACTTTGCAATGGAGTTGAAAGTCTGTTACAATAAAATAAATATTTTTAATAAAATAATTAAAAATATTATTATATAGAAAAAAAAACTGATGGAAAATAAGAAGTAAGTTCAAAATACAGAATTTCATAAAGCAATTGCTACAGAATTAGTAGTATAGCAACTATATTAGATACAATTATAAATAATATGTAAGGTATAAAACAGAAATTATAATCAGAATGAGTGGTTATTCTAAAGAATGTTAAATAAGGTTTAGATCTTAATAACAAGATAATCATAGATAAACAACTTAATGAAGAACATTTTGGTGCATATTCGTCTATTATTAAAATAACAACCAATTTGCAAAGTAGTATATTACAAACTTCAGTGAGACTACAAAATGAAGCATTAAAAACCAATTCTAGATTTGTTTTACAACTATTTTTCCTATGTTATCAATTATATTTATATGTTACATTTGTATGTTCATTTATAGACAAATAAATTGCAAATATATATATTTTGATTATGCTATGACTATCACATACACTGACAGCCAAAAAATTCCACCCACTTGATTTTTTCATGTTTTCATCTAAAAATATTTCTGCTTTGGTTTGGTCTATTGTTTTTAATGAATCAATAGGTAATCTTTTTGTTTGTTTTCAATCAGGAATGTTAATATAGAGGACAATAACCCTTAATCCTTAATTCAATGAAATGATTCTAGATTCCAATGTTTCCAAGATTCCAAAACGAACAATTATTATTCTAAAAGAAATTAATTACATCATCATTTAGTAGTGCGTGTTTCCTCCTCTTGCCTTCACTACTTCTTGAAGACGCCTCGGCATACTTTCCATCAGTCGGGAAATGTCCTTTTGCTGGAGGATAGCCCATTCCTCCCGAAGAGCCCTTTCAAGGTCCTGCAGTGTATCAGGAAGTGTTGCACGCGCTCTTATTCATCTTCCAAGGTTATCCCATAAATGCTCAAATCTGATTGCAAAGATGGGGTTCAAATCTGGAGAATGTGCTGGCCAGGCTAAAACCTCAATATTGTTCTGTTGAAGGAGCACCTGCACTATGCGGGCGACATGTGGGCGTGCATTATCATGCATTAGAATAGAACGATCGCCGATTTCGTGGAGGATAGGCAATACATTAGATTCCAAAATCGCGAATGACTGTCAAAGATCCTCCACAAACAACAACCAATTCTGTGTGGCGCTCCATTGAAATCCCAGCCCACACCATTAAGGAACCTTGTTGGAAAGGTTGGCTCTGGGAAAAATTACAGGCTGCATATCTTTCGTTACTTCTTTTCCACACCCTTTCACGCCCGTCTGAAGATCGAAGAGCGAATCTTGACACATCTGTAAAAAGTACAGCACTCCATTTGTCCATAGTCCAATGGCTGTGTTCTCGAGCAAAAGCCAGCCTTGTTACTCTGTGAGTTCTGGTCAACTCTGGTCCTCTTACAGGACAAAAAGCCATTAATCCATACTCATTTAATCTTCTCGGAGCGGTACGTTCAGAAATTTGCACACCTCAAACTTCTTCGAGCTGATGAATCGCTTGAACAAAGGTAAGGTGCCGGTTTCATAAAATTCTAAAAGCCAAAAACCGATCATCCCGTGGTTCTGTTACCCTAGGCTGTCCAGAACCAGGCCTTCTATTGTAAGAACCAGTTTCCCAAAAACGCCTGATGGCATCTCGTAAAGTTTCATATGGAACTCCGATGGCATTAGCTGCATATCTAATGGAATGTCCATCATCAATAAGTGCCACACCACATGTAACATCCTCAGCACTAAGAGGCATTTTTAAACTTAATATAGAAAAAATTAAAAGACGGAGACTAAAAAATGTGCTGCAAGAAACGGCACTGAACTAATGATACTGAATAAACATTTTGATTCCATAGAAAGTAAACATTGGAATCTAGAATCATTTTATTGAATTAAGGATTAAGGGTTATTGTCCTCTATATTAACATTCCTAATTGAAAACAAACAAAAAGTTATCTATTTATTCGTTAAAAACAATAGACCAATCTAAAGCAGAAATATTTTTAGATGAAAACATGAAAAAATCAAGTGGGTGGAATTTTTTGCCTGTCAGTGTATTATCGGTTTATTGCAAAAAGTCATTTTTTTTTAGAATGGATTATTTGTTTATTGATAAATATTACAATCTGTCTCAATAAAGGACATTTATAATAGAGTTCTGAGTGCACATCACACCATATTTACAAATTTAAAAAAAAATAATAATAAAATAAATAAATAAGCTAATTTCAAATAATATAAAGCTATAAAAGAACAAAATAAAATATCATAGTGAAGGAAGAAAATATAAATAGTAGTAATAATAGAATGAAAATAAATGAATAAAATAGAATTAAAATTATCTTAAAGAAAGTAATGAAAATAAACATCTTAGATGCAGGCATACCTATTTACACTATTTACAGTCAGTCATAGGAACTCCGAACCATACCTTTCCCCCCACATGTGGAGGGAAAGTGAGGCTTCAGGAGATCCCTGCGATTCTTCCTCAACCACTTCACTGGTATTAAAAGCCAGCAGAGATTGAGTAACGGCACTACAAACACAGACACTCATGACTTGAGTGGAGAATCTGGCCATTGCCAGAACTCCAGTATATATATGTTACAAAAGGTAGCGGGGCCACTGCCGTTTTAGCCTGCGAGGAGAATTGTAGGGATGAGTGGTGCTAGATAGGGATTGTGCTACGGGATTAGGGTGATGGGTAAGGTTCTAAAGAAATTTGGCAAATTTGTCTGGGATAAGATCAAGAATAAATGGAATATTAAGGTCATTATGCAGCGTTTTATTGGTGACATAGAAGGGAGCATTGTCTATTGTACGGAGGAATTTGGACTGGAAGGATTTAATGCGTTTGATGTTAGAAAATTTGGTTGTCCCCCACAGTTCTAGTCCGTAGGTCCAGACGGGCTTTAGTATTGTCTTGTAGATCAGTAGTTTGTTTTCAATAGAAAGTTTAGATTTTCTATTAGGTAGTCTATATAGCTGACCATAACGTTGGTTAAGTTCCTGTCTTTTCAGTCTAGTATGTGGATTCCACATTAGTTGTCTGTCTAGGAGGAAACAAATGTACCGGACTGAGTCGGAGAAGGGAAGCTGAATGGTATTAAAGTAAACTGGTGGACAGAAATTATGACGAAAGGTGAAGGTTATATGTTTATATTTGGATTCATTGACTTTGATGCGCCATTTCTTGCACCAGTGTTCAATCAGGAATAGGTGCTGTTGCAGATTTATGGATGCTTTTTCAGGATCTGAGTTAGAAAATAGGATCGCAGTGTCATCAGCGAAAGTTGCCAGGAGTGTATCGGGATGGACGGGAATGTTAGCGGTATAGATGATGTAAAAGATGGGACCCAAGACCCTGACTTGAGGAACTCCAGCCTCAATTGAATAACAGTCGGAAAATTCTGTACCACAGCGACCTCGAAAGGAGCAATCCGAGAGATAGGATTGGAGTATTAGATATAAGGACTGTGGTAGATGGGATTTGAGCTTGAAGAGCAGTCTGGAGTGCCATACCCGGTCAAAAGCTTGCGCTATGTCCAGAAATGCACTCGAGCAAAACTGCTTGTTTTCTAGGGCTGAGGATATGTGGTCAACAACTCGGAGTCCTTGTTGGACGGTAGAATGTTGGGAACGGAATCAGAATTGATGGGTAGGGATTTTTCGGGAGTCTATTATGGATAGGATTCTTTTCAGAAGGATCTTTTCAAAAATTTTTGAAAGAATTGGGAGCAGGCTAATAGGTCTATAGGATGATGTATTATTGGGAGGCTTGCCTGGTTTCAGGAAAAGGATGATGGTGGAATGTTTCCATAAGAGAGGGAAGTGGGTAGTTCGGAGGATACAATTGTATATATAGGTTAGAAATATGATGGCTTTGGATGGTAGTTGTCGTAGGATCTGCGGGGTTAGAAGGTCGTATCCAGGAGATTTATGAGGAGTGATTTTGCGTAATAGGTATTTGACCTCAGAGGGATTAACTGCTTTAGGTGGTAAGGAGAGTGGTATAGGTGAAGAAAGGAATTCTTCTACTGCAAAAAGTCATTAAGTGACATTTCATAACCTTAAATAATTAAGAACTTTGGTAAATTTTCTCTTAATAAAATTATAAATTATTACACTTAATGTAACTTAAACTTACAGGAAGAATGTCCTCAATTTGAAAATTATAGATAAAAGCAGGCTTAGCCAAAACATTAAGAGAAATCCTTCAAGATACTGAAGAAAGAATCAATACTTAGTTTGAATTTTTAAAGTTAATAGATTATTATAAAAGAATATGAATTGTAGTAAAACACCAATGACCCTTGAGGGTAGAGGCGCGAAAGAAAGAGAAAAAAAAACTTTATTTAAAATCAGAAAATTATTACACTCAGTGTAATAATAAATATTACACTATTATTACACATAGTGTAATAAATTATCATAACTTATTTATGATAAATCAATAATGGTCTTTTAGTACAGGTAAATAAGATCGAATTTCACAAAAACAAATTTGATAGTTAATCCATATGAAAATTGCACCTTGCACACTAGTTAAGAAACTACCCACTGGTAGCAATCTAATAATATGTCTACATAAGGAGATCACGTGGCCATCTTCTTTTCAGAGTCTTGGAGGATTATCAGTAATCGAAGAGGAAGCAAGGTTAGAAACAAGAGGATTCGGATGGTTATGGTAAGAAAAATAAAATTACTTATTTGAATTTATATCAGTTAAATATTACCTAGTTTCAAATTTCAATTTAGTCATAATCTTATACCCTCATCAGAGTTTTAATATTAATAGAATCCTGAAAAAAAGTTTATTTTATCTTATTTACTGTTTATAGTAAGTTGTCCGATAGTTTCTAAAAATATATGATCTTTTTATATATTTTTGTTAAACTTGTTTCATAGCTTAAAGAAAACCCATTTCCGTTCTCCACCCATTAACTTAAATAAAAAATAAAATAAAAAGGATCAATAAATTTGTGGCAAGCTAATTACAAAAGCTCTGATCTAATTTTACTAAGAGACAAAAAATATATATATTGAACACACTATAGTTTCAGGACTTTTTAAAGAGCACCTGTAAGATGTGAATTAAAGAATGAGAATTTGCTATTGATAAGTGGCAACACTGGTCTTTGGCCTAAGCTCTGCCCACAAGAAGTTGTCGGTATTACAAACATTAAATTGAGACTTTCCAGCATTACAAAAGGATAGCAGAACTCTCAAGAATGATCATTAATTATTTTCCTCTTAGTATAGTATTAGGACTTTTATTAGTATAGAACTAAAGGAAATAATTGTGCTGTAATAGTTTCAAAAATGTAATTGAAGGAGAGGAGAGGTAGAAACTGAGAGGAGTTAACTTAAATGAAAATAAAGTACATGTTTATGTACTTAAAATAAAGTACATGTCTATGTACCAATGTTTCAACTGCCTCCCGCAGTGCTACATTCTACGCCCTGAAGACGACCTGCAAAGTGGGTCGAAACGTCGGCAAAAATTAAATAATTACTATATTTTAATTTAGTATTTATTTGACCTCACTCTCCCGATTAACTCCTTCTCATATTATATCTACGGTCAACCATCTCTACCTCATTATGAAAATAAAGTACTGTGAATTTTATAGAATTAATGCAATAAATAAACCAAGTCATTAAGGAAAATTTCTTTGAATTGAGTTAAACTATGTGACTGTATAAGAGAAAATAACAAACATGGGAAAATATATATACAATGTAAAACCAACAATCCATTAAAACATATAAATGGAAAGCTTGTGGGAAAATAGAGTTATACAGATAATACATTGGAAATTTATGGCCTGACATGACTATTTTCATACTGTACCTTTTAAGACTAGCAGAAAGCTTTGCAGTTACAGTAGGAGGTTGGCTAGATGTTGGAGCAGATCCCTGTTTCCTGACCATATGGAAACTGACTCTTTCTTGACCATAACCATCCTTCCATATCTCAGACATGAAGTCTTTAGATTTTTTATTATAAACATTCCAGAGGAGAGTTCTTTCTTTACAGGGATCATCCCATGTATAAAGGAGTGATTGGTAAGGACTTAGAAGAGCAACCTATTCCATGAAATAATAAAGTAAATAAATAAATAATATAGTAATGATGGATTATATTATAATTACTAATAGACAATTTTAATATTTAAAAAATTATAGATGATAAAATAAATACAAATTAGTGTTACAAAAATAATATATATTCCTATTTGCTCTCCTACCTCTTTTCTTCCCCCTTTTATTTTTACATGATTAGTTTACCATAAAATGTTGAAAACAAAAAATAATAAAAATTTAATTCATTAATGTAGGTACAAAGATTTTTAAGTTCCTAAATTGAGATATAATGTTTATTTTTAATTTTCAATAACTGTTTTCTGGTTACTTCCAATTGAATTAATACAAATAAGATAAAGAAGTTGTACCAAATGAGAAGCAGAGAGGAATTGAAAAGAAAATACAGGCAAACAAGCTCAGGAAGATTCTTTTTGGACATTTGAAATAATTACACAAGAATGAAATAAGTTTAACAAAACAAAATATTTAAATTTTTTATTTTATTTATATTGGGTTGAGGAAAAAGCTATTTCCTTTTTTATCATCAAAATTTCCGGAATAAAAATGAGCAAACCAATTCTGACCCTGGCGTTCGCTCATCACCATAAACATCACCATTGAGTGTTCAGAATCATTAAACCTAATTATTTTTGTCAATAAAATATGAATAACTTCAAGCCAGTTTAAAAATAATATATACTGTTTTTTTAAAGAAGTTATTTTTGGTTGTGATCATATGATAACTGGAACTTACTTTTATTAGAAAAACATATAAATATAAGTACAGCTTATCATACGTGTGATTTCTCTGATTTCATCCACCCACCATCATCTCCTTAAATTAGATCTACATTCAAAAATATCCATATTATTATTAATATACTGTTTTTTTTATCTCACCTGTCCAAGATGCTGCTGGTGGATTTTTAGGAAAAGGTCCTCACAAAGATTTTCTACACGAACTGGAGCATCACCAGGAGAATATGACCTAAATATGATACTAAAAGGCTTATCACCACCGCCTATCACAGATACAACTAGACCGCCCTAAAATTCAAAACTACCAGTTAAAACTTAAATTTTATTTATTCCAGTGCTGTAGTATATTACTATAATAATGTTAGTAACAATACAGTTTTAAATAGAAAAAAATCATCAACTAAATGAAGAAATAAAATAAAACTGTCAATATCTTTATTTAATGATTACCCTATAAATAGGCAATCTCAAAAGTATTATCAATTCATCCATCAAGTAACAAATCATAATGAAGTATTGGTTAGCCTTAGTATTCAATATGAAATTGTAATACTAACATTCATCAATAACGAAAGACTTTTTTTCCATTTCTCCTCTTCTGATTTGTTGGCGAATGTAAAATATTCTATATATAAATATTAACTATTTTTCTTTTATTTGTTTCTAGTTTTGACCTTTTTTCATTAATTATTCATTCCTTGCTTTTTGCCAATAGGGATAATTTGAAAAATAATCATTCTCAATTTATAGGTTATTCTTTATTAACTTTTACTGGTAAGTTTCAAGGAATCTTTGTTCCCCCTCTTCAGCATCTAGATGCTTAAATGTTGAAGAGGTGGACAAGGATTTTTTGAAATATACAAATAAAAGTTAATAAAAAATAATCTATAAATTGAGAGTGATTATTTTTTCTGTTCCATACTTCAATATTATTTTTATAATTTGTATCAAAATTTCTTATGAATTTCCAAGACTTTTAGTTATAAAAGTTTCATATCGCAATAAAGTCTAAATAATCCAACTGTCACAGGTAATTTTCATTAATCATGATTCTAACTATTCAATTTCAGATAAATAGAGAAAATGTGATTTTTCTATTGTCTATAGTAGAAGTTTTTAACTCATAAGAGCTCAAGTGCTAATTTAAAAGCATTGCAAAAGCTCAGAATAATCTTTGATATTAAAACATTTTTATAAAGTTTTTAAGAAGTAGTTTTTTTTTTTTTTTTTAAACTTTCTTTATTGAATATTAATACATTCTGCCACATTGATGGGCATTAATATTAAGGCTACATGATTCATTCACACAATATGTACATACAATTAATATCAATAATAAAGAGAAAGAAATATAAAAAAAAATAAAATAAGTAAATTGGTATGCCTGTGTACAAAAAAAAAAAAATGAAATGATAGATAAAAGCTAGATGAAATTAAAGTAAATAAATCACATTCACACCTATGTACAATATTTACATTCACCCAGGGGACTCTGAGTCATGCCTTATTCCCCGACGTGGAAGCCAAGGCAGGACTCAAGGAGATCCCAGTGCTTCTCTCTCAGCCGCGTCACTGTTATCTGAAACCAGTGGAAACTGATGGAGGGCACTATAGCAACAGACGCTCATGTCTTAAGTGGAGAATCTGGCCATTGCCATTACTCCAATATATACTTATTTACAAAAGGTCCACTGCCGTTTTAACCTCCGGGGAGGATTGTAGGGATGACTGGAGCTAGATAGGGATTGTGATACAGGATTTGGATGATGAATGAGTTTCTGGTGAAATTTGGAAAATTTTTCTGGGATTAGGTCAATAACAAATGGCATATGAAGGTCATTATGGAGGGTTTTGTTGGATACATAGAAGGGAGCATCGACTATTGTTCGGAGAATTTTAGACTGGAAGGATTGAATGCGTTTGATGTTAGAAAGTTTTGCTGTCCCCCGCAGTTCTATTCCGTA